CGCCGCCCCCCGCCGCGGCTCCTCGCCCGCGGGGTATCGCGCTCTGCCTTCGATGGCCGGGCGGCCAGGAGGGCGCGGGGCTCCCGCCGTGGCTGGCCCCGGAGGACCTCCCCGGGCCGCTCAGCCCCCCTCGGACCTGCGGTTAACTTTCGTCTCCGTCCTGCCCTCTCTTACTGCGAAACTTCTATAGGGGATGCAGCGGCTGAAATGTCTCCCTTGCTTGCTTGCTTATACACACGTACACACGCGCGCATACACAGGCAGAGCTGCTAAGGTTAGTTTCATGGTCCAGCTGGGACAGTCTTTAAACTGTAAAACCGCTCTACTCTCCCTGAAATTTCATTCTGATCTATGACTTTTCTCTCTTTTCTTTTTTTTTTTTTTTTTTTTTTTGGCGGGGGGCAACTCATACAACTTTCCTCGCATAGAAAAGCGTTTTTGAAACGTATCGCAAAGGCTCTTTCACGACCACCGCTCAAGACATAAATCAGCTCTTCTCTAACCCTAAACGCCACTGAAGTGACAAGCGACTAGGCTTCAAGGGAAGTCAGCCCAAAGGTCTCAAACTACAGCGTCGCGCCCACACGGGACCGGCTCGGGGGGGGCAGAGACGGGCAGCCGAAACTTAACAACTAGTTGGCAGATTTTTAACTGATCAAGCACCGTATTAGCCATGCTTTCCACTACTATGGAAACAAAAAAGGTACATTACGAGGAAGCCACGAAAGCTGCGCAGAGCCTTAGGCAAACGCATTTGCCAGTCATTTTTCTCTCTATTGTTATTATAATTATCATCATCATCGTGCCGTTACTACGGCTACAATGAGCTGCAGCGACAGAAAAAACACACAGCAATTCAACCCTCTGGATGCAAAATAAAGAGGGACTTCGGTGCCTGACTCCGGTAGCACGTCCCAGCTCCCCCTCAGCACCCCCTTCTGAGTCAATCCTACGCATATCGCATTCAGGCTTAAATGCACAATGAAAAAAGTGTCGGGAAATCTTACCAAATCTTAATACATGTGTGGTTCCTTGAGAATATCCAATCCACAGTAAGCAAAGAAGGAGTCTAATGGTGCATCTGAAGACTGGATTAGTTAGAAGAGGGGAAATAATCTTCATGATGTTTCTATGCACACACGCGCTGCCTTACTTCCCCCTTCTAAGCCGTCAGGTTTCCCGGTAGGGTGAGAATGAGGATACGTAAACTGATGGCCCTCAGACACGATCACGGCATGGTCACAGAGAGAGGAGAGAGTCTACGCTTCCCAAACCCATTAGCAATCCCTGCATGTTCTTCATTCACTGCGCCAAGAAGCAACCTTCAACTGCAAGGAATGGTGGGACATCCATGTTAGTCGGGGGAGAATCCTTGAGAAATCCAAACACACACAATGTCCAGCCGAGTAAACCTGGGAGGCAAGAAAGGAGGAAAATCAATAGGTAATCCAGCTCGAGAAATCGCTGAGGTATCGCCACATAGCGAGAGTCACTGAGCACCAGCCGTTTTACTGGCGAAGCTTTTGCCGTGCTCCCATTCTACTGCACTGCTGCACAGCTTCTGACGCGAAGCCAAGATTAAGTGAGAGAAATTGAGATAGCTCTTCTCTTCTTAAGGCTGCCTGCCAGGCAACCTTCCCAATTTCTATTATGCAACCGATCTGATCGCCTAGCGTTGTCGGAGGGGAAAAAACAGCTCGGTTTTATTTATATGCTTCTAATTGTTATTAGTATTTCGGTTGTTCTGAACAATAGCTGTAAGGGTCTGTAGCAGGGGGGAGGGAGCTATAGAGGAGAAGGGAAACAGCTGTGTAAAAATCAATTCATGCATTTTAATAGCTGACTGCCTGGGTCGAAATCACTTAGCTTTAGAGTTGTGAAAGAGAAGGCTGACAATAAAGTCATACATGTTATCAGAGTAACGTTTAAGCTTAAAAAAAAAAAAAAAAAAAAAAAGACCGTGATATTTGCATTCACTAACTGTTACTCACGTTAATGCATGAAACAGGGTAAATGCGATGGCTTGTATACTGCCTGTCCTTAGGAACTTGCTCCGGACCCAGCGATCACGGAGCACCAGCCTGCTTTTGCAAGGTAAACAGGAACCGGCAGCGCTAGAACAGCCTTGTTGAACGCACAGACCTGTTTCGCTCAACTTGTTTGAAATCGCAGTGTTGCTTAGAAGAAAGTAACTTGGGGATTTACTAGTTTTTGTTTTCCACTTTATTCTGCCACTCTCTTATTTTGCGCTCTGCTTTCCTTTCACTCTAGTGTTATGGAAATATTGCTGTTCCTCCCTGTACTGAGAGATCTAAGTAGTTTGTCATTTTGCAGTCCTCAGTGAGAACAACAGCACTTCCCAGTTTGATAATGGGATACTCAGTCTGTATCTTCAGATGCAGCGCCAGGCTTTTGTCTTTTGGCCAGGTGTTTCAAAGAAGAGAAACTCATTCTGTGGACTACTTCAGATTTTCCTTAGAAAGACAATTAGTTGTGTGCCTTTATCCATTACAATACATTGAACCAGGACTGTCAGACTTTGCAATCTAAGTGAAGCTTTTGCTGAACCTACTTAAGCATTATTACAAATATTAAAAGATAATTCCTAGATTCCCCACCAGGAAAATGAATTCATTTTATTCTACATTCTGCCTACAGACATCTTTTGTCTCCTTTATCTCTCTCCCTGCCTTTTATTACTAAAGAAAATATCACTGAGAGACTTCCCCCACAGATACACACAGATGAACACAGAATAAACGTGACTTTACAGAAATAAATACCAATGATGCCAAGCTAATGAGAACACTGTGGAATCTATCAGAAGTAGAGCATGGCAGAGGTGAGTTACAGTTAATTCTTAAAAAACATCTGTGCATTGTAGAGATGTATATAAGTAACAGCAGCATTTAAATTATAACCTGTAATGTTGGTGCTCTGTATCCCTAAGAGTGTTAGCAATTCACAGTAACTTTCTATCATTATGGCTTACTGATTTCCTCTGCATGCATTTACTTAAAACACTATAAAACGCTGGTGGAAAGAAATGTGCATTCTGCGAGGCGATTATTAAACATCATTGATTTTTTTTTCTTTAAGATGGAGGCATAACTGCAGTGTCAAAAATAAGTATCATGAATGGCTAGTTCTGCAGTCTAGCAGGGAATTCAATCAGACGATTTGACTATTGGAGCACTTTAAAAAGAACACCTAGTGTTAAAACCAAGGATATCTAGCGACTCCTTCAGTTCACACTTAGAATATCCCCCAGTAAAAATGCAGAGAGATACTCTCTTGTACTTTCTGTTTCGCTTATTCTCTTCTACTCGTTCATATTTTATCTTAGTCCAAGGAGAAATAAAAGCGACCCACGTGAATACTGTGAACGTTCTTTGCCTCCCTCCTCTTTCCCCTGGTGTTGCTGAAATAAATGACATTAAGCATCTTTAGATACTTTTTAATTTCTGAATGTTCAGATGTAACTTCCTGTCTAAACGGATTTTTTTTTTATTTACTTTAATATTGATAAGCAGTTTTAAAAATATAATATCCGTGGTCAGCTTTAGCACAGTAGACAAGACATAAACTTTGGGCAAAGTGACTCCTGTTATCAGTCTGATTTTCTAAGGTGTCTTGGAAAAAAAAAATACAGCTACCTGTAATCTAAGCCCAACAGAGCTCCTAACTCACCGAGGTGTTTATAAATGGAACCATAAACCAACTTGTGATTAATTCCTTTGACTGTTAAACATTCAGCAGCCCACACCGCGGCCTCTGCTCGCATGCCGAAGACCCGAGCCAAGTTTCGTTGCCCCCGTGCTGACATCCCGCCACCGCCCGGCTGCGTCCTCAGCACCGCGGACAGCGCCCGGCGCGGCGGGCGCCGCGGCTCCTTCAGCACCACGGAGAGCGCTCCCGGGCCGCCGCGGCCGCCGCGCCTACGCGACCAAGCGCTTCGGGTGCCAAAACGCCTTCCTTTTCCCCTCCGGTCATTTCACGGCACGGAAAGGAAATTAAAATCTGTTATCGGCTTCTTTAAAGGCACATATTACACCCTCGCTTATGTTAGCTGGCCAGCTATTTTATGGGTTCAGAAGGAGTACCGCTCTCCTTCTTATCTGCTATCATACATCGCCTAATGCTCTGTATTAACATCCCTCCCCCCTTCTTTCAAACCCCAGCTCCCACTTTGAAGGAAAATCGTAGTTAACCCAGAATTATTTTCTCAAGAATATCAGCTCTTTATCAAAAAGTAAATCTTGCAAGATATCAGATGTTTAGAACTCACTAAATATTTGGTGACTGAAGACCACTTATAGAATACACAATTAACTAAAGCCTCACACTTCACCACCCTAGACTCCTTTTTTGTTAAATAGACTTTAGCTTCATTTCTTCTTCGGGGAAGGGAGGGAAAAGGAAGGGTAACCTTTACAAAAGATACTTTCATCCACCCTCCAGAATGATTTCCATATGAAAGCAGGTAAATATTCTTAACACCTTTCATATTTTCTTCCCTGTAAGACGTATAGTTCAAAGGTTGAAAATCCCTAATAAAATGTTCTACTGGAGAAGCTGGTCTTGTGTTTTGGGGGCTTGTTACCACTGTTACACAGTTCTTTTCAGATTAAAGTCTTTATGAAACTGCCCTCCACACTTCAGTGATCAGCAACTGGGAAATCTACAGTTCCTTGGATATATGTTTTGATTTGTTTTACATTTTGGTCATCTATCGTAGACGTGGTAGTAACACATCTTTAATACATAATGACAATGTTCAAGTGAAGCTGATATGAAAAACAGAATTCCAGCTATAGGCGGGGAAAGAAGAATAGACAATCTAAGGCCTTTAAATCTTTCCTGCGTAATAAAAGCCTACTAAATTCTTTAGGTATGTGTCAAGTATAAATGGCAATCTTATGTACATAATATTTCATTTGGAAAGGGGAGATATGTGGTTCTGATTACCTTATTGTATCAGACGCTTTTTCCTTCAGATCGTATTTTCGTGTGCTGTTATCATAATAAAAGTTAACCCAGTTCCAGCTAGCTGCCACCTACTGGGATGTATAGTTTTACCATATTACTTTAAGAAGGAAATGGCTTTCATTTTCAGGTCATAGCTAAGTCTCTAAGAACTGATGATAAGATTTTTATATCACTTAATCTACTGTTTTGTCCTCTCCCAATAACAATTGATATAAATTTAGTATGTGTATGACATATGGTCCCCAAAGCTTTGTTTGTGGGACATTTTTGGGCAAATCCTTGCAAACGCTTCAGATTCACATGCCACCACAGTCCTCCTGCTGTTGCAATCTGGTGTGAGGAGAGCCATAGCTTACCACAACACCTGACCAGCCTCTCCAGATCTCTAGAAACAAGTATCGCAGCCTTGCTGACAAAGCAGTAACACGGTCCTCCCTTTTTAAACGTTTGCCAAAGTATTCAAATGAATGTTGATATTATCATTTAAAAACACATTGCGGCCCACTTGCACTTCACTCCCACCAGCTATAAAAACCATAGGTTCTCCTCTGTCTGTTATTAGCTCAGTCCAAATTTACAACCAAATTTCTTCTGTGCCGATGATTAATGACATTTTAAGATGGTAATTAATTTTTAGCTAGTGGAAAGACGTGCATTCTAATTAACGAACTGAGTATTCAATAGACTTACTTGTTCAGGCACTTTTGGGTATCACGGCAATGCACTTTCCTAGCAGGTTTTAAGCAGCAAGAACAAACATTTATGACATTATCTACAGATCAGCCTTTCGTTCCTTCAGTTTGCTTTGGGGTTGGGGAAGCTGTGAAAGACTTTGGGATGAGAAGGAGGATGTTTAATGTTTTCCGTGCTCTACTCCCCCAAAAGTTTCTAAGGAAAACGTGAAGAGAGGTTTTCATTATATTGTATTCATTCCTTTCCAGTGCGCACACGGCTCACTGCAATCATGCCTCCACTCCGTAGGCAGGAATGTCTCTTGCTTTACACAGAGAGTGTCAGCGCCCTGGCTGGGTTAGCGATGGATGCTCTCCAAAGAATGCTGAATTTGTTCAGAATTAAATGACAGGACTGCCGAGAAGCCGAAAGGAGAGCTGGCTGCGCCGTACCGTGGGGGC